GCTTAAAATACACTACTATTTATTAAAAACAGGAATTCAATACAGCTTGATAAGAAACAGCATACTCTGCAGAGCAAGTATAAAACTACAATTTTTCCAAGCTTCAATATGAGCAAACTGTTTATATCTGAAAATATATTGTTTTAAAAACTGGCTGAGCTAACAAGCAGACAAGCCCCTCTAAGGGTATACATTATAATGTTTGTATATTTGAAATATATACTCCTGATTAAAAACACTGAGTGAAATGAAAACATGAGTTTCCAAGAGGCTTAGAATATAATCTGTTGGGGTTTTTTATTATTAGGATTTTAAAACTATCATCAGTACTTTCTGCTTCTAAATTATTTTATTTAGAAAGAGATGTCAAAATAAAGAGGCCAAATAATAATAAAAGAAGAACAAGGAAGTATTTAGCACCTGTCAGACCTTGCTGCAATTCCCACTGCCAAGCAGGGACTGCAGTGCTGCACAGGAGGGATGAAATGAAGCCTTCAGACACAAGTTAGAGTGAGTTTAACAGCACTTGCTGGAGCTGGGGTCCCTTGGAAGTGGTGAGAAGCAAAACCAAGGTTCAGACAGACTTGCATCTGATTCCCCATGCAGCAGCCAAAGCAGACATTATCTTAATGACTGCAATAAAAGTGAGCCCAGGCCACTTCCATGTGCATCTGGGGCAGGACAGGCAGGGTTTCCCTGGGCCTGACCTGCATCTGCAGCTTTCTGCCTCTGCAGCTTCATTAGCTGCTGACACACATTTCTACAGCCCACCACTGCTCTGGGATAGAACAGCAGCTATTTCATTACTGCTCTGCTCTGGCACTGCATTTTCCTCGGGTAATGAGAAAGCTTGAAGGCAATTCTTAAACAGAGAAAACAGCAAAATTTTTGAACAGCTGGAGCTCCAAAGGATCTACATAATTTGAGGGACTATTATTTGCAATATTCCCTTATGCACAATGCAGTATCCTCCTTGGATCTGTGTTATTGCTCTCTGCTGTGCTGCCCCAGTGACCGACCCTTACCCTGCAGTGCTGCCCTGCTTTCCCCTGCTCCCTGCAGTAACTCTGGGACACTCTGACTTTATCCACTCACACTCATGGGCAAAAGTGACACAAGGAATTGACTCCAGCCCTCCAAAGAGCAACAACTTCTGGCACAGCAACCTCAGGTCCAGAGAAGTAGGGAAAGGGGATCTAGGCTGGATGAACTCTGGGCAGTACGGGGGAAGACAGGAACACAGCAGAACCTTTGCTATGCTGATAAAAGATCTGCCATGGAGATCCTCACTCACTCAGTGTTCCCCCTGCTCCTAGGGAAGGCTGGGCTGAGGCAGCAGGGCCATACCTTCATTAATGCTCCTTGCATTCCAGGCCTGCTCATTGGTTTCTGTCCTGTGGGTACAAGCCAAGCACATTCCAGATGTGTAGTCAGGACCTGAGGGCCCAAAAGAGGCCTTGAATCTGTCACACTTCCAATGATACACTTGGAAATCAGGGCTGTCATCTTGAACACTGCTACTGGACATCTGCAATTGCACGCAGATTCCAAGAGGTCTATATGGACACACAACATTGTTATTCCATACAAACTGTATTTAATATTTTGTTTTATTTCAGGTTAATAAAAATGTCTCAGTTTTCAATTCTGGCTACTGTTACTCGTAATGGTGAGCAAAAGTCAGTTAAGCATTACCAGGGTCACAATTTTCAAGCCTAAGTATCAAATGCCAGCTTCACCTGCTCAGCAGAGAGAGCTCAAATTCAGACCTGCTACATTTTCTGATTTTCCCTACAAACAATAAGGGACAGTGTCCTGTTTTCAGCTCTCATATGCCTTTTTTAAGAAAACTCATCAGGGAGGAAGGAGCTCTCACCTTCACTGTTAGCTATAGATGCAAAACAGCATCAGAAAATTGGGACTTCCACTTGGAGGTCTCAAGTCACCCTCAATGATTCTCTTCGTGTAAGAGAAGAGGACAAAAAGTATCAAAACAAGCTTGAAACAGGATAAAAAGTTATTAAGGGTTTCAACAATTGTTCTTTTGGAAAATATGCTATTCCATGCACAGCAAAATTTCAATTAAAAGAATCAATCAAGCATTTATTAGCCAGTATCAAAAATGATAATTTGAAAAGTAAGATCAATATCAAAGTTAAATCTTTTTTAAAGACCTTGATCATTAATGGAAAGAAAATGCCTCTCTTATAATAGGGTATGTTTATAACATATGTTCAGAATATATTCCCTTATTTCAATAACATTTTATGATTTTAAAATTGAAAATCCTCCAATTTATGCTTCTACATTAGTAAGACTTTTCTTTACTGTATCTAACTCCATGATTTTGGACTTTTTTTTCCTTATTAGTCTACCACAGTAATAAAAGTAGTCTCTTAATTCATGTCTTAAAATTTTACCATCTACATTATATCAACCACAGACCTCATTTAAAAGATAATGTTGATTTATATATATATATATATAAAATCATTTGAGGCTGTTCTCTAATAATCACTATTGTTGTGACACCTTGCCTGAGGCAGAGGCACGTGCAGAGAGGGACCTGGCTGAGATCTCTTCACTGCCTACAGAATTCTTTCCATGAAGGAACTGTCCAAATACACACTGGGTGTCAATCCAGAGCTTGGTTTAGAAATACTCTGCTGAATTTGGAGTTTCATGAGATGTGCTTTTGAGGAAGGCAGGAAAGTCAGATTGACAGCTCTTCCTACCTCAGAGCTCCAGAAATGGCTCAACATACTTTATACCCACAGGATCTTTTAATTGTTTCAAATCTGATTTTTGAACAAGAACTTCTGGCCCTCTGGGGATATGGCAATTACAGCTGCAGTACAGTTCCCAACAACCTGCTGGGATCTGAATGCACAGGAGAAGGATCCCACAGCTCACAAAGGATTTCCCAGCTGGGCTGGGCTGGTTTGAGCCCTGGGGTGGTCCTGGTACCCCACCCAGTATTTCCTGTCCTGTGTCAGCTTCCCACTGTGCCACTCACTGCTGAGTGCTGAGATCTGCACACAGCCAGACAGCAGCACCACAGGGCTCTCATGGATTTCATATGGAATGACAACTTCCTATGTGACAGGCAACAGCCTGAAAAGCTCCATGAAAAACAAAAAAAACAGATTAATTTATATCCCCATCCCCTGGTTACCAATGAGGAGCATAAAGAAATTTCCAACCTGGAACCATGTTATACAGGAGGATATATGAAAAGAACATTTCAAATTTGCTCTTGCAACAATGGTGAAAGCCTGCCATTATTTTGGCAAAACTTCTTTTCATGCTGCAGTGTCAGAGCACTTGAAATACTTGCTGGGCTCCTCCAATCTCAGAAACAAGCTCAGCCCTTGGCTGATCAGAGGGCTGGGATGCACAGAGGGCTGTGACAGGCAGGCTGCTGTCACAAGCCTGTATCAGCTGAGCACAGTGAGGAAAGCTCACTGCAAAGGCTGCAGTGCCACCACCCCATTCACCAGGAATGAGAGAGGAATCTGTCCTTCTCACAGAGGGGCTGCCTTTTGTGCTGCAAACAGGCATCACACATCATGTATTACTGTAGTGTGACATATTTAAGAATTCAATAAATTTGAGCTCTGTTCCTGCCACCTTAATCTGTGTTTGGCAGTACCTTTTTCCACTTAAATCACCTCCAGCACTGAGGACTGCTGTGACAAGACAGAATTACACTGCTTAAATGACAGGTGATGAAAGACATGTGATTTAAATTGCCCTTCTAATCAGTTACATCAAGGCTTTTGATCTTGAAGTGAAAGACAACAGTTTTGAAATCTCCAGGTTCATTCCTCTCATTTCTTCTCATGTTCAAATGAACAATGTAACCTGGAATCAGGAACAACCAGCACCATTGGATAAAATCCAGAGCATTGCTGCTTATGGACGTGGTAGGATCAGATACTTCTTGGTGTAACTGTGAAGCAAAACACTCAACCCCCAAAATTATCCTGGTGATACAAAGAAAGATGTTCTTGATGGATGTATGTGTGCAGTGCTGTACTATTTTGGGGTGCAAAGATCTCTAATATTTTGGTGAAGTGTGTGCCTGCTACAGAAATTGCAGATATAGTATTACTCTGAGCTAGAACTACTATTCCACTAACAAAAGGGTGATATTTTTATTATTCTATTTAGTGAGTATTTGACTTCTGGCAGTGCTCTGCTGGAATTTAAAATGCCAAGTTGGCAGCTTTCAGAAAGGGAAATTTCAGTAAGTTGGGATGGTCTCTTTGGGCTCATATTTCTTGCAGTTCTTTTTCCATGTGTTTGCGTCCCTGGCTACCAGCAGCAGCTCTTACCTAAAGCTTTGTTTCTTATCCTATGTTTTATTAGCTCTACTTTTTCAACCCTAGCATCATTTTACCCTTCAGGAATGCATTGTGAAATTCTGCCAGCCTTGATTTTTCCTGAAATGTGTAACAGTTATGGTGTAGTAGGCTCTAGGAAGTGCAGCCCAAAGCTCTGAAATTGTGACTCCCACATGAGTGTCAAGCTGTCCTATACTGCAGACCACAGAAGTCCAGATTTGCTGGCAGGCACAAACCCTCATGCACATTTCCCACAGCCTTGGTTAGGCTACAACAACAAGCATTTGGCATTAGAAAATTCCCTGACAAATCTAGTAATAGCTTTCTTTATGGAAAATAGAGTTCCCTTAGTGACAGTGGTATTTTAAAGAGCAAGAGCTGAACTAGGCTGCTCTAGAGACAAATCATAGAGACAAATCAATTAACAGCTGATTTTAGTCCATAATAAAGTACCTCTTGAAGTCTTTGAGACTGGACATTCAAACTATCAGTGATAAAAGCCTGTGGGGAATGATGAGTAAAGGAGGCAAAGTTTGCAATTCTGATAGGTGGCTTATAAGAAACAGGCTCAGTGCAAGATTACAGATTGCTGGTAAGAGGCTGAGCAGAGGCAATCTGCAGCACTGTTCCTGTTCCTGTCCCTGTGTGTCTCAGTTCTGGCTGGCAGCCTCAGCAGGAGGCCCCTGCCTGAGCACCATGGCACCCACCTTCCACTGAGAGCCCAGCACAGCTGGCACATCCCATTGGCACTGCACCCACCTTCCACTGAGAGCCCAGCACAGCTGGCACATCCCATTGGCACTGCACCCACCTTCCACTGAGAGCCCAGCACAGCTGGCACATCCCATTATAGTGCACCCACCTTCCACTGAGAGCCAGGCACAGCTGGCACATCCCATTATAGTGCACCCACCTTCCACTGAGAGCCCGGCACAGCTGGCACATGCCATTAGAGTGCACCCACCTTCCACTGAGAGCCCAGCACAGCTGGCACATGCCATGCAGCACTGCTGTGGCACTCTGCAGGAAACTTGCTACATTGGGGTTCTCATCCACAGGGCCTTGCACAGACAGGAAACAGCAGCACAGCTTGTCCACCAGTCCCATGTTCACCACGTAACTACAAACAGAGGAAAAAGTGTATTACAAAAAACAGTTCCACAACAGTTTTGGTAACTTTGCAAAAGACGTAATTTTTGCTTCTCTGCTATCAAACCACTCAAAACCAGGTTGTGATCACTTAAATACTCTTTTTGAAGGTGTTCAATAAAACAATTCCAATTACAATAACTTCAGATCTGGCTCTCTGTGACTATCAGTAGTTTTTGTTACAATATTTGAGAGTTGTAGGATAATTTGTATTATACTGTACAAGAAAGATGAGTGTAAATGTTTATTTTAGCATACTGCTAGGAGGACAATGGAATTTTGCCATAGTTAGATGATTTATAATAATCTTGATAGCTCTGCAACAACACAATTTCTTTTTAGCATGAAGAGGTAAACTCTGTAGAACACACTAATTCAAGAAGACAATGATGTTACCCAGATAATGTTTTATAGTAATTCATACATCATAGCAACCACTGGCCACTTGTTGGGCTTTGTTCTCCTCTTATAAATACATATATGCAACAGCTCAGGGACTAATAGAATATTAACAAACTTCTACCATCAGTATAGAAGGATCAGGATCAAAAAATCTCCTCAGAACTCAATCAAATTCAATATAGAGAAAACCATGTAGTGACTCTTTTTAAAAACTGAAAACTTCCTTCTTTTTTATTAGGGTTAACCAGATCATCATTGCTGATCCTTAGATCACAACTGCTGAAGTTCCTTCTTTGAATTTCTAATAGCTTGGAAATATATGTCCAAAAAAATCTGCTCTTCACCCTTGTACCAAGATCTCTCTGTCCACAGCAGGTTCTCCCACACCTTGATCATTATCAACTCCACTCAAACCATGCACAGATGTATTTTTCCATGTCACTTTGCTGGTATCACCTCACTTTACCTACTGTCCTTTTCTACCACAAACATGCAGCTTCTCAGGCTTTAGCCCTTCTCAACCACCATATTCTGCTGACTTAGGTGAGATCAACTCTCTTTGTGGACACAAAGGACCACTATAATCATCTCCCTTTCTTTCCCCTCTAATTTTCTTTCTATTTTCCTCCACTCCTACGAAGCAGGAGAAACCTCTTGTCAAAACCAGAACTGCAGTTTTATCCTGTGCTGAAAAGACGTGGGGAAGTCTTTGCCTTCAGACACCAACAAATGATCCCCTGTTCCCACCCTGCCTACGCCAACCCCTGAGATCACTGTCCCAGCAGCTGCTGCCCAAGGGCACTTGGCAGAGACGGCTCCAAGGACAGAGCTCCTGGAGAAGGGAACACCACTGGCTTGAACTTTGCCAGACTTGACCAGACCACCCTAACTTGACTCAACAGGAAACATTATTAAATAATATTGATTCTATCAATAAAATTATTGATTAGAGAAGTACAACTGCTTGTTAAAAATAACTATTCCCTCACAACACGTCCTACAGTCTGATTTTGAAAGAACATGGGATTTTGACACTGGGGAAGAAAACATCCTATTTTTCAGACACTGCTGTTGCTCAAAGACAGATTTCTCTGCCAATGTCCACCCTAGTGACACAGAGCTTTTGGAAGAAGTGAAGGAATTAAGAATAAAAATACACTGGATATAAAGCAAGAAGTTGAACTGCAGCATGGAAGATTCTTAAAGCTGCTGAAGTACAGCAGTTAAAAACACCTAAAGATGCACAAAGATTATTAAGTGCACACTCATTGTGCAGGTAAATTTGTCTGTTCTATTCAGCAACATGAAAGGTTACTAGCATTAAGTTTCTTGCCAATTTTGATCTAAGCAATCCACCTGATCACACAGGTGATAAACAAGTTCTCCTGCATTAGAGGAATAATTCCAGGAACAGAGCTGGGTGTTAGATACATCACAGTCACAGAGAAATGCTGAGTGCTGGAAACAGCTCTGAGAAATAGGAGGGAAGAGGAAGAACTAAATAAAATCGAGCTGATGCTGATAGATGGTGGCTCACACAGAGGCACAACCTTTCTCATCAGCATTCTCTTCCCTAGCAGCATCTCTACAGTGTGACACCTGCAAACTGTGTCCACTGTCCCCCTCCTTCCCACCCCCACTGGGCACAGAGCAGCTGCTCCTCTGGCAGAGAGGAAATGGATGAGAGCTTTCAGTCTGCTGGGACTATTCCTCCCTGGCACCCGGAGACATCAGGAAGATGCACGGAGCTCTCCCTTCCTCGAGGAGCTGAGCACACACACAAGTGGAATGTCAAAGCTCTCTAATCTATTGCCTCCATCTCTTTTTACCCACAGGAGCACAGCTGAAATAACCTGGCTACCCTTTTGATACCCAGACAGCACATAGATAATTGGTGTTTATGCACCAGGTCTAATAGTCCCAAATAGGAAAAAAAAAAAAAAAAATTCAGTGCTCCTCTTTCTTTGCCCATCTTCCTAAAACTCTCACTTAATCAACTCCCCATGACACATGATACAATGACCTGGAGGTGAAAGATTCTCATTAATGACAGAATTTGTCTGTTTTTGACTGGTTTAAAATGCCCTCTCTCTTTTTGTCCTAATTGCACCATTACCTTGTCATCATGCCTTTCATTCCCCATTTATAACCAGATCCCCTAAAGTGCCTCAGGTGAGGGACCTGCTCAGATTCTCATGTCTCTCCTTATCTTGAGGGTCTGCCTGTGCTGGGCCCAGCCAGTGTCAGATGTCTGCTCAGCACAGACCTCCCACCCTCCCATTCATAAATTGCAGAATACAACATCCTGAAATTTCACACTCTATCAAAACCTGTTTGGGGAGAAGGAGAGTTACATGAGAACACAGAAGTTTGAGAGGTCACTGGTATCTATGACAACTACTTGTTTTGCTTTTCTCCTCCAGATGTCCTCTTTGTCTCCATCAGCATCATACCAGACTTTGAAACGTCTGAGGGCTCACTGTGACATGTTTTCAGTAGCATATAAAGAAGAACTTCATTTTTTCAGAGGGCTGAAGACACATTGGTGACTATTAATATAACAATTTATTGATAACTATTTATATAGCTTACTAGTGAAACTGTGCACTTTTAGCAAGTCCAGTATACTGCTGGATATATATCAGTTTCATATATTTAAAACATGTATTAATTATGTATGTACTAATATATTTCGGTTCAGCTATTAAAATAAGATCAGATCAGGATCAGATAAGATAAGATTCTAGGAATGACTGGGTGATTTTTATAATAGGAAAAGTTTTTTTTTGGACCAGCTTATATGAATGCATGTATGACATGAGAGACCACAGGCAATGGGCACACACGGTTGGCATAGAGAGCTGAGAGAAAAATGTATGGAAACTAGCTCCTACATAATCAGGAGAGAAAATTAATGGAAACAACATTAAAAACAAGTCCAGAAATTAAAAAAACCATCTTGGGTTTCTGTATTTCTTTGTCTGCAGTTTTTTGAAGAACATTTTTGATTGAGAATATAGTATTTCAGTAGTCTTCCTGACTACCCACACTAACTACTCTCACTGCATCAAGGTTAAAGCAGTTTGTTCCTCTCTTAAATCGATGCAATTTGTTTTCTCTCTCATAAGGAATACTTTAAAAAGTTTCATCATATTTTTTTAAACCTGATTAGGTCTTGGACTCTGCTGCTGAAGGCTTCCACTTGTGAGGATTTACTTTTCACTTCCTGTAATATCTTCAGGGCAGTAGAGTGGCTGTTTCCATCTGGGAAGCTGGAGATGAGACATCTGAAAATCACAGCAGCTACCCTCAGAAGTCCTGTTGTTAAACCTTCAAATACCTGCTTATTTACACTTCTGCCTGCAGTAGCATTATGGTCATCTGGAACACTAACCTGAGTAAAGAGAAAAAAACCACAAACAACCAGAATTCAGTAAAACTAACCAAAGTTTGTAGAGAAACATTTACAAATTCACATAGGCCTACACTGAAAGTAACAATAAGGTAACATTCTAGCAGTGCTGATGGACATGAAACCATTGCAGGTACAAGGTAAGGTAAAGCACATAATCCAAGCTGGACCTGAATAAATCAAGTCACAAGAATGCCATGTCTGAGAAGCAAGGAAGCCTGACAGCAGCAGAGTGTGCCATTAGCATGATTGTGTTCTTATGCATGAAACACCACCAGTGACCACTGCACTTGTCCATCAGAGGTCACCCATCTGCCGATCATGTCAGAAGCACAACACCCAGTTCTCTCTGAGCAGACCTCAGAGGAATCTCATTTTTCTAAATCATTTAACTAGATCCCACTCCTAAATAGGTGAAGTTGAGCTGTACAACATGTAAATCTGACAACAAATCTATATGCAGGATACAGATCTGGAAGGAGATTATTACTCATGGAGAGCATAATTTTTAAAAAATTCATTTCATTTTTCCATTTCTGCAGCCCAAGGTAATGAATGCAGCTGAAATCCTGCCCTGTTACCATCACACAGTGAGTGGAGTGTGTGTGAAGTCCTGCAGTGCTCGAGGCAGACACTGGCAGCACTCAAGGCTCAGGGCTCTGGAACATCCCCACGGCTGATGCTGCTGGGCCAAAGCCACATCCCCTGCTCTGCCACAGCCTGAGGCTCACACAGGCACCAGGGATCAATGCTGGCTGCAATGCCATTTTCCTTCCAGGTTAAAATCATTTACACTCAGTAATGCAAGCGTGGCCAGAGAAAAGCATTCCTCCTCGTGTAGGTATCAGGAGGGATTTGGTGACACTTGGTGACAAAGAACAACATGCACATTTCTTTATTATTCATTAGCTCTGAGCCTTGTGCTGGTACTTAAAACTCATTGTAATGGTCTGCTTCTGGTGCTGAGCCAAGAGAGCAAGTGAGAAGTCTTTAGCTGCTTATCCAAGTTCAATAGGAAAAGCAATGCTACATGGCTCCAGTACCATTTGTTGGTAATAATTAAAATAATTCATGCCTAATGACACCAATTGCTCATTGAAACAGACACACTGAGCTTTGCCATGTGAAAATCAACTTAAATGTGGCTTTGTGCTCTGAACACCAAGTTTTACAAACTGCTAATAAATGCTACTTACTGCTTTTTTTCACCTTAGATAAAAAATTATCTGTGCTATTTTTAAAAGATTTTATAATGTCTTGCAGCAGAACCTTTGGTTTGCTGTAATGAGCAGTACTGTGAGTGGATAATGTCTGTTTTTGTCAAATGTCATTGAACATTTTGTTCAATGTACATAGGAGAAATATATTTTCTAAGTATATAGTCCTTAGCTATGAAAGTTCATGCTTTGAAATAAAACTGCTCTTCCTAATTTGTAAAATAAATAGATCTGCCACTTACTAGAGTAATTTACTGCAGAGCTTATTTCATGTTCAATTTTTTTGCAAAATGTAATAATTAATATTTGAATTAATATGAAGTGAGAACAAATGTGGTTTTTAAAACAGTGTTATGTCAAACAACAGATAGAAGGAAATACTGCTTGACAGAAAATAGGTAAATTTGAACTGAATTCCTTGAAGATTCTCCTTTTACACTAACTCAAATGAGTGACAACAGATCAGCTCTTTTACTGAAGAAATAATTAATGGAATAGTGTGAAAGTGTGCTGAGATTTATGTTCAGAATTAATTGGTGTGCTTGCAGAAGCAAAATTAATTGGGGTGCTTGCTTGTTGATTATTATATCAAGCAAGGGGGTAAGAAATCTTAAGATTTAATAGTGTAATTATGAAAGCTTTCAAGCTCTGGTTTCCTTGTGTCAATTACACAAGGAGTTAATGATATTCAGAGAAACTGTGTTGAACATGAGCTTTGAATGGGTAAATGTAACAACACTCCACATTCCTGAGGTTTAACAGTTTCTGTGACACAAATCCACAGGTGTGATTACACACTTAAATTGATTTGTTGAGTAATTGGTATAAAACATTTTAAAATCACAATGGGAGATCAGGAAATTGCAACTACTGTCCAAATATCTGCCACATCCAACATCTCAATGCTATTTTAGCTTTTCTGATGGCTGACTTTGCTGGGCCTAATCAGGAGTCCTACTTTCTTTAGGTTGGATTTTGAATTGGAACACTCTGGTGATCTGACTCTCAGCTCTGGTACAGACCCCACACAAGTCATAAACTATTCCTTGGAAAATCCACCCTGGGCAGGGGTTCCCATGCTTGTGCAGAGCTGCCATAAGCTCTTCAGCTCTGCCCAGCATCTTGGGCTTAATCCTGTAAGATGCTGCAGAATATGGCCCCAATCCAGTAAAGCACTTAGGCACACATTTAATATAGCTGAAAATGCTCCTCTGTTCTGACTCACATCACCAAAATACCTCTGCAGATCAGAGCACATTCTCCTTCTGTGCTAACAAAAAACACCAAACAATTCCCAGTTAGCAATGCAGAGGTCCAACACTGACAACTCATTCATATTTTTATTTCATAAAAGGCAAAGTCCTCCACAGCCATGAAGAATTTCAAATGTAGAGTTGCTAAGCCTAAATGGAAAACCTTCAGACCTTTAGAAGCACACGATTTCTCTTCATTTGGTCAATTATTTCATATAATTCTCCCATTACCAAGAGTGATTTTGTGCTTTTTGCATGTGTAGTCATTGAGCTTGTCTCAAAAACACTGAAAGTACACCTCAGAAATCTCAGTAGGATGTCAGACTCTCTGTGGAGTAACTAGTGAACCAAAGAAATGGAAATGGCTCAGGAAGGGCATGGCCTTGAGATGGTGCAGGTGAAGGCTTCAATTCTAAATTCCCCACCTCTAAACCCTTCAGCATGTCATTACCTCTTCTACTCCAGCCCTGTTTTCAGGATTTACTACTCTCTACATGGGCTTGTGTCCTGGTTTAGGGAAAATGGGGGAGAAAACCTCTAAAGGGGTTTCCTCTGGAAAGCAAATTCAAGAGGCTCCCTCTCCCATCTGGTTTGTGAAGAGATTTCCTTGGAGAAAAGTGGAAAAAACCTGTTTATTTAACAGGCCAAGCATTCACCAGCACAAAAGAAGAGCAACATTAACTAATAAAACTTCTTGCTGCTCTGAAGAGATGACACACACTCAGCAAGTCCCTCTGGGGGCTGTGCTCAGCTCACTCAGTCTCTGATCAGTCCCTCTGGTGCTGGAAATGCCTCAGCCAGGCCTGGCCACAGGTGGGAGCTGAGGGTGCTCTGCTGGTGCTGAGTCCAGAGCAGGTTTGAACAGCTCCAAAGAAAAGAGAAAAAAAGAAAAAAACCCACAGTCCAGGGAACTTCTTTGCCTCAGCTAGCTAAAACTAACTAAAAGCAAAGAAGAGCTCTGTCCTGCTGTCTGTCTGTCTGCAGACAATGCAGTCCAGGAGCAGGAATGTGGGGGAGTGAGTGCAGTGTCTGAAAACAAACTGTGCACTTCTTCTCTCCCCCTCTTTGCTCTCAGAATCAGTCTTAAAAAAGGTGCAAAACTTTTTTCTGGGCTGACCAATGGGGATAGGAGCATCCTAAAGTCATCCCAGGTCAGGCTGTTATTAGGGACCGAGGGAACTGCAGTGCCACACAGCTGAACCCTGTGGGGACAGATGTAATTTCAAAATGGACTGGAAAAGCCCAGCAGCACAGATGTACCTTGGATTTCACAGCTCTTGCCATCATCAGTGCTAACATGGAGCTGCCTTATTTGATGCAGCACAGAAGACTAAAAAAAAAACTGGACACAACTGGTGAGGAAACTGCAATAGGATGTATACTGTCATTCTGAAGAACCCCAACTACATGGCAGCACATTCCAGGCAAGAAGTGGAGGAGAAAAAATACTTTCCTGGGGCCAGATAGCCAGATTATCTTAAACCCAGTAAAATGTCATAGGACACTAACCTAAAATATGGCCCAAATTTAAGCACTGTATTTTGGAGAAGAAAAAGTAATCAGCAACTGGGTTTTGATCCCTACATTTGTTTGATGGCTACCTCACCTAACATTCATTGCACATTCACAAATGATGTCTTACTTAGAATATTCCTTTAAAGATTGCCTTAAAAAATAATCATAGGGACCTGCCATGGTATCCCACAGACAGGTATGGTTTAGGTGCATGGCTTCTCAGATATCTTTTGGAAAGTACATGACTGCTGTCACTTGACTGGAAATAAAACCCCCAAAGTGTGAAATAATCCTTACATGCCTATAGCTCCATTAATTACTTGGTTGTGTTGGTATGAAACCTTCCAAAACACACAACTAGAAAAGCTACAATTATTGTACAACAATCTTCTGGCTACAGTAGACAAAGAAGAGCAGAGACAGCAGTGAATAAACAAAGCTCCAACTGCAGCACAAGAGCTGTAGGAATGTAGGTGGGAAGGTTTGATCCATTAATCATGGAAATCAGGAAACAGCCCCGCTGTCCTCAACAGACACTGATTTAGGCATTACCAGAGCTAAGGAGGCTGAGGAAGGAAACAGGGTAAGTCAGGCTACAGAAGGTTTCCTACCAGTGCCTTAAGGCAGGAGGCAAAGAAAGGTCTGAACAGGATACTTCAAACCATTAACCTGGACAGGCTGGATGACACACACACACACAAAAAACCCAAACCAAAACTAAATCCACATAAAACTGGCTGGAAATAAGGTTCATACTGGATGTATTCAAGATTATATTGAAATGTTTCTCAAAACAGTACTGTTTCTGTGTTCAGCAAATATTGGTGTACTTGCTTAATAATTTGTTAAAACCTTGCAAATATACATTCTCATTTATTACTCCTGGTATTACTTTGGGTTTTATTTTCCAACAGTAATTGGAAATACACATGACATAGGCAAAGACTGTATCACATGGCTCATCCAACCAGGAAAAGTGGAGGCAGTTAAAAGTCTCTGGGGGTATATTTTAGTATTTTGGTATTCAGAGCTGCTCTCAGTTTGTACATTTCTTTTTTTGTAAAAAAAAAAAAAAAAAAACAAAATTCAAACTTGATCTGATTTATTATATTTTCAAGAGAGAAAAATCAGGGTTAGAAAAGCAGCACTGTTTTTGGGTTTTGTACTCAAATATGCACTTCATGGAACTATGAAGATATCTCAGTTTAAGGGCCAATTCTGCATGAAGAGAACATAAGAGACTTTCTGTATAGGAAAGAAAAGTCCACTGTGGATCATGGGAAACATTAAGCTTTAATTACAGTTTTGCTGCAATTCAAGGGTAGTATTTGGCAACAGACTGAAAAGAGCTCTAAGTGCAGTAAATTTTCCTTCTGCAGTATCTCTGAGCTCGAGGTGGCCTGAGAAATGCCCTGTGCTCCTGCAGGAGGTGCAGGTCTGCGTGCAGCGCTCCCTGCGAGGGCAGGCAGGCTCTGGCAGCACAGCAGCCCCGGCACAGGGAGGTGCTGGGAGATTCCCCAGCCTGCCCAGCAGAGCACCCTTTCAATAAAACTGTTTTACTCACCTTTATTTACAATAGGACAACACAAATAGAAAGGTATTTTTTCTTTCAAGTTGGGTTAACCCCAGCTGCTCTCAGGTCTGGTACAGTTCCATTTCTTTGTTCTATGTTCATGTACTTATTTAGAATAACTTTAACTGGTACCGTGTCGAATTAACTTCCTTAATTAATTAACTTGGTTTCTTTATTTTTTCTAACAAAACGTTTTGTGATTCTTTTAACAATTTTTGCACTCTCCTTTTTTCTCTTAATCCTTTCTCATCTAACTTCTCAAGCTCTCTTTCTTTCTGTAACCTTTTGTCTTGCCCATCATTCAACTTTTTAAATTTTTTCTTTACATCCCCTATGTTAAAGGGGAGCATTAAGAGACTTAACAATTCCTGACGTGGTTCCCTCAGTAAAAGTGGGTGGTGTTTTCTGCTCTCATTTTTATTACTCTCACTATTGATATTTTCCTTGCTTTACTCTGTGTAAAAGGAGAAAAATAGGCGGCTTTAGGAGGAGCAGTTGGTCTTACAGCTTCCTCTACAGGCTGAGGCAGGGGAGGTAAATTGTCACAGGACACCCAAGCTTTATTCTTGATTGTCAACTTGAACTCTTGATTCTGACTCATCTCTCCTAATTTTATAACTTCAAATTTGTTTTTTTTTGTTTTTTTTTTTTTTAAACTTAATCTCCAGAGTGCTGTCTGGGCCCTGGAAATCTGTCCGGGGGTTATTCCCGACTATTCCCCACTGCCCCGCCCCTTCCAGCGCCACCTGACACCCCACGGCAGAGCGCACAGCCCGCACTCTGTTTGTGCCACAGCCCTCGGACCATCCTTTCAAAGTGTTCATCAACAGCCCTATGGCTTGTTGATTCTAACAGCGTGGCTTAAATTATTCAAAGTATGTACATAACTTTTCAATTAACAAACTGCTTGGCTCATGAAAATACATACACACAATTTATAAGTAAAAAACCAGGACTAAATATCTTATGATGAGCAGGTCACTATGAATTAAAAATGAGTTTTCAAATAAAATATTTAATGACATTTCAAATTAAATGAAACATTGGAAAATTAAAACTTTCATTGCTAAAGAGTCCCATTTAAGCACTTCAGCAAATCAGACTCTGGCAATGCATTGACCTGACTTAGATTCGTGACACTGAAACAAGTAAGAATCAAACACACAGCCACAACTCATTGTGGTCTATAAATATTCCTATAGGGTGAATTAAAGAAAACAACCTCAGAAAAAGATAGAATATCCACTCACAGAGCCCCTGGTACACATGCTTTTGCAGAAGTCATTAGTAGAAGCCAATACATCAATTTCTGCAGAGTACAGTAGACACAGCCACCAAATACAAACAACAAATGAATTTTAATCTTTCAAGCCTTTATTCTTATTTACCTCCTGGTGTTCTTATACTCTAAATACTTTAACATGTTTGTGAAGCATGCAAAAATTTACAAATTAAAGAAGTTATTTTACCTACCGTAAACTGGTGTATCAACAGGTCCATCAGAAAAGTGATCTTATTACTAAAGAGAACATAGGTGCAGTTTTCTATGCAGTTGCTGCAGGTGAGGCTGTAAACATTTACTGTACTGCACAGTGACCTAAAAAGTCAGAAGGGAAAAAAAATTAGAATTTTACTTACTTCAGTAAATTAAAATCAAATAAATGGCAGCATCAAAAGATAAGCTTGCAGGAATTCACATTTATTTTGTTTAAATAATAACTTAAATGAAATAAATTCTGTAACTTTAAAACAGTAAAGCCATACTTATGGAAGTAAGTCCACACACTCTATGGGTACCAGAATCTCCTGTAACCAAAACTCTGACCAGAACTGACACAGAATATCAGCCAATTTCACACCTGGATAGGTAACATTTCTCTGTGTGTGGCTTACAGGGCTTACAGCTACACAACACACTGAACTCTTTCCTGGCAGGACCTCGAGCCCTGTGTGAAGTACCTGACAGCAGCTCCCAGCTCAGCAGGGCCTGTGCTCAGCACAAGGGACAGGGATGCCCAGGGAGCTGGCAAAGCCAGCAGGTGCTGGCCCAG